CCACAGCCCCGTCAGGGGGGAACCCGGGGGGGGGGGGGGAGCCAGCCTCAGAATCCACATGCTGTCCCAGCCAGCGCGTGTGGCATTTGTCCGCCTCACCAGCCCCACTCAGGTGTGGACCACGCTGGCAGGGTATAAGGACAGAGACTTGCTAATCACTCACGGACTCACACAGTGGTGAGGGGACACAGGAAGGTCACCTTAGACAGTCCCCCTTGCTGTCTGCCTGAGGTGAGCCATGCAGGGTGACACTGTCATTTTAGATTATGTTTGTAACTGAACAAATCCAGCACAGTGCGGGTCTGGGAACGTCATAAATGTTATCTGACTGAGTGCACCACAACTCCCCCCACAGGCAGAGACGCTGCGTGTTCCGAGTTCTCTGAGGAATCTCTCCAGCCCTGACCCATCCTGCCTTTAAGACCAAGGTTGACAGACAGCCCTGAGCGTACAAATGCGGCGTGCTTTAGAGACAGCACTGAGCGTTTTCCCATCTGATTTGTTATGGAAGTAGGTTTTAAAACTTGTGTGTAAATGGGCCACTATTTTTGAAAATAAAAGGGGAACGGAAGATGGCAAAGGGTAATTCCTGGCAAATCGTTCTTTAAAATGAAAACTCCTCATAAAAGGTAGCAGTTGATCCATGTCGCTATGATGGTATTCAGAGTTTTACACGGCCAGGCTTCTTAAAGCAGAGAACACTCGTGTCCCCCTTACACCACTCACTTCCTGAGAGGAGGTGCTCTCTCCAGAAGTCTAGCTGCTAATGCACTCAAGAATTAGGATGACGAGACTTTGGGGGTTTTAACCTAGCTTCAGTTTCTGCCTCTTGCACAGTATTGGAAGCGCTTGGCCCGGACACAGCAAGGCTGAGACGCCTGGACATGATGCATTGCTACAGCTACAAGGAGTCATGGAGAACATCTGTTCCAAACTCTGTCTGAGCCTAACAGTATTTTCTTCCTTCTAAATCACAGGAACAAAGATTATGCTAGGTAACAAAATGAAATTCCGTAAAAAACAGGTGAGATAAGGGTCAGCAGGTGGCACAGTGGTTAAGGTGCTGGACTCCCACATGGCCAACCATGGTTCGAGTCTGCACCTAGCAGCCTGGTGTCTGACTTTCCTCTCTTTCTCTCTCTGGTCAATTTTTTTTTTTTTAAAAATAACAATAATAAATAAAATAATTTAAAAAATAAAAATAAAAAAATAAAAACAGGTGAGCTATGTAGCAAATTCCTAGAACAGTATGTCTAATACAGGCTATGAGAAAGTTGGAGTGATATAGTTCCACTAGGCAAGAGCTCTGAAGGAAGGAAGAGGGGTGGGGCTGACAGACACAGGGCTACGGCTCTGCGATGGAGAAACCAGGCCCCCAGGACACATGGTGCGGGAGTGGGTGTTTCCCCCGACCTAGTTCTGGTCTCCCCTGTTAACAGGCGTGCGACATTGAGGATTTAATGCAGACTCAGCGTCAGAAATGGATTTAAATTTTGAATTGTCTATATTCGGTGTGATCCTCATTGTTCTCATGGTAAAATAGAAACAGAAATGTCCTTAAAGGCTGGTACTGAGGATCAGGCAGGGAAAATCAAACGCTAGCTCAGGACTAGCAGACACGTAGCATCAGTCAGTGCAGTAAGTGGCAGCTAATGGGAGAGTGCCGACATTTATGATGATGGTGATCGCTGTTTGCTCAGAGAAAAACTGCCTGTCTGTGCTAGAGCTTGGAGACAAGTCACAACCCCAAATCAGAACTTCTTGTGGATATCAGGAGTACTGGATTAGAAGGTAAACTTGTGTCTAGTCCTGACTGTTGCTGTTATGAGAATGAGGCAAATCCAAACTTTAGTTTCTTGCTATGAACAAAGAAGATTAGGGTCAAAAGGCCTTTGTGAGTTCTCCCTTGCTTTCACCCTCTGTAAATCTGCAGAGGAACAACCAAAGACATTTTGCAGAAATCTACTAAAAATAACTTCCTAAGACAGAACAAAATTATTCAATGGGATGCTGCTCTACCATGAGGTATGCTATGCTATGGTCCAAAAGTGTGCATCCTCTTAGGAGACCATCTGGCATTGCTGGTGCTCAAGACAGTGTTAGGTCCTGGACCTCGGCGTTATTAAATTCTGCTATTGCTATGGTTTGAATGTATCCCCCAGCCCCTCCCACAAAATTAATTTGTTGAGTGTGCCGTTGTGAAGGTATTAAGACGGAAGGAATTTAATCTGACTATGGAATTAAGAAGTGGAGCCTTTGAGAGCTGATCAGGATTGGGGCTTTCATGACTAAGCCCTAGTGAGTTTATAAAGAGAGGGAATGAAACAGACAGACACTCCATGCTGCTCAAGCACTTGCCTGTCAACATGTGAGGCTCTCTGCCATGTTATCCATCACTCAGCAGATCCTCACCACCCTGGACCTTAAACTGCCAAACTGTGAGTCAAATAAACCTCTATACACTTAAATTACCAGGACTCAGATATTTCTGTTATTAGCAACAGAACAGCTGTATTTTATGAAACCACAGTACCTTGACAGCAAGTTGCTACCTTAGACACTTCTAGTTGGTTACACGCTCTCATCTGAGATTGTTCTGCTATGAGCAGAAGACAGGTCTACCCATTGACCTCACTAGCTATGTCAGAGTGCTCAATCCACACTCACTCCTCTCTTCTACTTGCATAATCATTCTCTCACAAGGCTCAAGGCCATGCAACAACTTGGCCTTGGTCAACTGAATTCTCACCACTTTAATTTTACATCTCTTCAAAGGCCATGTTGAAATGACCCCCTTAGGAAATTCATCCATTACCACCATGGTTCTTAATGTTGGCTCTGTTTTGGAATCACCTGGGGAGCTTTTAAAACAAATACCCATTCCTGGGCCCGACTCCAAGGGATTCTGATTAATTGGAGCTTGTGTTTTTTGTTATTGCCACCGCTTCCTGGCAAGAAATCTGAGACTGTGTGGTCAACCTCTGCACACAAAAAAAAAAAAAAAAAAAAAAAAAAATTAAACAAATTAAATTAAATTAAAAACCTGTATCCCTGTATTAATGAATTCTAAGAGCTCTGGTGGCAGGATATATACTTTTGTCATCTGTGTGTTTTCTGTAGATTTTGCACAACAATTAACAGTTGGTAAATTCTCTACAAATCTTAATTGAATTTAACTTACTTGCAAAGCCATCTGGTTGGACATTCTCTACTCGATGGTTTGTTTAAACTTTATTTTGATGTTTATTTAGGTTTATCTTATGGTCATTGTCACAATCCATGTAAATAGTTAAGTCTACATATGGAGTTTGCCTGAGTGAAACAGAGGCCAATTATCAGTCATTTTCTAGACCATAAGTCATTAATGAATGGGATTTAGCCATAAAAATATTAATTTGCAGAACAGTTCTAGATGTAAAAACTGGCTCATGGCTAATATTCATCATTTTGAAAATTTATTTAATTCTTACTGTTGACTCAAAGAAAATAAAGAAAAACTTTGTGTTATTTTTATTTACCTATAAGTATTTTTTTTATTTTAATAGTGTTTTAAATGGCCATGTTTTATTTGAACCCCTTCTTTATTATTAATAGGCAGTTATTATA